GGATCCTAGGGCCCTCCCCCCGTCGTAGCGCGCCAGACTGCAGAGCGTCTCGGCCATCGGGTCCCTCCCCCTCGCCGCCCTGGCATCCTAGGAGGGGGGGGCGGGGGGGGACATGAGGAAACGACGAAGAGGCGAAAAAGGAGGAGGAGGAGGAGGACGAGGAGGAGGAGGAAGAGGCGACAGAGGAGGAGGAGGAGGAGGAGGAGGAGGAGGAGGAGGAAGAGGAGGAAGAGGACGACGACGAGGAGGACGAGGATACCGAAAAACAACGGAAGAGGAGGAGGCGACTGAGGAGGCGAACGAGGAAAGGAGGAGGAGGAGGAGGAGGAGGAGGAGGAGGAGGAGGAGGAGGAGGAGGAGGAGGAGGAGAGGAGGAGGAGGAGGAGGAGGAGGAGGGAGAGGAGGAGGAGGAGGAGGAGGAGGAGAGGAGGAGGAGGAGGAGGAGGAGGGAGAGGAGAAGGAGGAGGAGGGAGAGGAAGGAAGATGAGGAGTGGGAGCGGGAGCGGGAGCGGGAGTGGGGGTAGAAATATGAGTAGGAGTAGGAGTAGGAGTGAGAGGAAGAGGAGGAGGAGGAGGAGGAGGAGGAGGAGGAGGAGGAGGAGGAGGAGGAGGAGGAGGAGGAGGAGGAGGAGGGAGGAGGAGGAGGAGGAGGAGGAGGAGGATAAGAGGATAAGAGGATAAGAGGAGAAGAGGAGAGGAGGATGATGGCCTCCCCCCCCCCATCGCCGCGCGCCAAGCAGCGGGGGGGATCTCGGCCTGCGAGTCCCTCCCCCTCGCCGCGCGGTGTTTCCGGGGATGGGGGAGGCAGAAGAAGAGGAGGAGGAAGCGAATGAGGAGGAGGAAGTGGATGAGGAGGAGAAGGAAGAATGAGAATGGAATGGGACGCTCGTGCGGGCAATCGCCCGGGCCCCTTAAGGGCGGAGCGGGCGAGGCCGTGGCCTCGCAGATATGGCCGGCTAGCTGGAAGCATACTCAGGCGGCCGGCGCCACAGAAGTATCAGGAGTGGAACACGCGACAAATTGTGTTTCCAGTTTAGTCCAAGTTGAATCATCGGTCGCCAGTTTAAGCCAGTCGACGTTGTTCACGTCGTAGCTGCTCCGGGCGGGTCTCTCTTGCACGCCATGGGGTACGAGAAAATCACGCACGTCATCACCCCATCGCTTCTGCTGTCCTCCCGAATTCCTGTTGCCTTTTTGGAAAGTATGGAGGCTCGGGTGCCAGTTGACCACGCATTGAGACCATTCTCGAGGGGACTGCTTCGCCACTCTCGCGGCACACCTCCACACCAATCGCCGTTGCCTCGTATTCCAATCGAGCACACTGTGCTTGTGCATGAGGCTTTCTGCTAGTCTTGTCGTGCGCTTGATGTATTCGACCCACGACTCCAAGACAATGCTCTCCAGTGCGACGTTCTCCTCGTTGTCGGTGCTGGGGATGTTAGCCGTGCTGGTATCTGCGTTTGGGTGGGTAGATGACGGTCGGTTGCGTTTTGCTTCTCCGTGCGCGTCGTCTTCGTGGGTTTGCGGTTCTGAGGTCGCTTGAGTCGCGCGCTGGTTGGTCGCACTGGATGTCGGCCTCGTGTTGGCGGTGTTGCGTCGTCGTGGGGAGCCGACAGTCATTCGTAACATGCGTCGTTGGGTGCATCGTAACCGTTGTCGTAAAGGCTCGGTCAGAGTCCAAGTGGCCGCCCCGTATAGTGCCGTCGGTGTGACAGTGCCTTCGAAAAGCTGGAGTCGGTGCTTCAAGGGGTAGCGCTTCGCTGTGAGCTCCTCTTTGCGAGCAGGGAAGGCTGCCCAACCTGCCTTGATCCGGCGTTGCACCTCGGTGTGCATGGCGTCTTGGAAGCTGATCTGCTGTCCCAAGTACTTGACTGACCCACTGTGAGGTAAAATCTCGATGTCCATGCTGTTGATGCTCACCTTGTGCTGCCGTGATCTCCCAGTCCTCTCAGTCAAATTCGTCAGGATCTTCGTCTTGTCCGGGTGGATGTGGAGGCCGTGTTGTTGTGCAGCTGTGGCCATGTGTTCAGGCATTGTCGTCGAGCGCGGTAAAGTGCGGCTCGTCAGAAGGACGTCGTCGGCAAAGCGCAGGTTGGTGAGAGAGCAGTCTTTTGCGAAGCCGAGTTGGATGCCTTGGTTGCGCTTTTTTCCATGTGTTGACAAGTGGGCGCATGATATGTTCAAGAAGCGAATTGACAAGTAGTGAACTAAGGGGATCGCCCTGTTTTGTGCCCCTCTGCAGGTTGAATAGGAGGCTGGTCGCGTCTGTCCGCGCCGTGGCTGTTTGGCCAGAATGCATCTTCCGGAGTCGGTGCATGTAGCTTGGTGCGACGCCTTGGCTCTTGAGCGCGGTCCAGAGGCTCTCGTGCTCGACCGTGTCGAAAGCCTTCTTGAGGTCAAGCGTCGCTATCCATAGTGGTTGGTTCCATTCCCGAGCTCTCTCCCGAAGCATGTGGAAAGGGAAGAGGTGATCTTGCGTCGAACGTCCCAGGCGGAATCCTGCTTGGTCTGGGAGCCGTTGTTTGTCCAGGGGCGGCTGCAGTCTATAGTATAGAAGCTTGCTGAAAAGTTTGTAGAGAAGGGGAATGGTGCAGGTTGGCCTGTAGTTCTGAGGTTGCATGGGGCCACCTGCTTTTGGGATTGCTGTGATGACTGTCTGTCGTCAACTCTGCGGGGTAGGCGCATCGGCTTGTATGACAATGTTGTTTAATTGGAGTACGGCTCGTTTGAGTTCTATGGGGCATGCTTCAACATTTCGGCTCTGATTCCGATCGTGTCGGGTGCTTTTCCCCGCTTAAGGTTGGACGGTCCCCTGTTGAGCTCGTGGATTGTAAAAAGCGGCACCGTGTCGTCAGAAGGCTCAGGTGGTGAAGATTGTCGAGTGGAGTGATACAACTGCTCGTAGAAATCTGCAAAGACGTTCGCAATTGAGTCTCTGCTGGTATGCTTCGTGTCGTCCTTGCCGCGCATTTCCGTGATTAGTGTACGCTTCCGCCCTGATTTAATGGTCGTAATGCGCTTGAGACCACGGTAGTCCTCGAGTATGGTGCTGATCTGCGTACGTCGTGTTGCTCGTTTTTGCCGTCGTATCTCTTGTCGGATTTGCTTGCTGGCGTCGCGTCGGGACTGTGTATTGTCATTCGGGATGTTGCGCCTCTGCCGGACCAGCGCTTGGAGGTGCACGTTGGTCGAGAGGTGCGGTCTCAGTTGCGCCGGCTCCGCAATGCTTTTTGTCGTTGCTTCCAACATGGATATCTCAATATGGTTGCTGAGCTCTTCTGGCGGTCGGGGTAGGTCTGCTGCAGAGATAACGTCTTTGGCCGTTGTGTGATACGCCTCAACGTTGACGTGGGCCCAACTGCGGGTGGTCGTGTGTCGCGATGTGTGCTTGGGCTGGTGCTGCTCGTCGTGCGTATGCCGGTCAGAGGGGATGCGTCGCTGGATGCAGAAGTGCGCAACCACGGCCTTGTGATCTGAACCTAAGTCCACTGCGTCGTTCGCCTCCACGTTGCGTCATTGTCGGAATAGGCGCCTGGAGGCAAGGATGTAGTCGAACTGCTTCTCGGAGCCATTGCTGTGAGTGTAAGTTACTTGCTGCCCCACTGGCTTGCAAAAGAATGTATTCGTGATAACAAGACGTTCTTTAGACGCCCACGCACGTAGCCAAGCCCCTCTCGAATCACACTTCCCATACGCGTGATGTCCGATGTGCCTGGCGTCAGTTCTAGGCTCGTCGTCGTCGGCATAGTCGTCGTGCCGCATAGGTTCGATTGAATCCAAGCGTCCAACTTGTGCATTAAAGTCTCCAGCCACAACAACATGATGTTTTTGTTCGCGAGCTTCGGCGTGCAATGCAGAAATCAACGTGTACAGTTGCTCCACATGTTGGTCACTGTATCCCGTGTGCGGGAAATACGCTGCGACTAACATCGATTTGAATGAGCCCCGCCGTATGTGGAGCGCTGCATGCCTAGCGCTAACACCTTGGAACTGTTTGATGTGTTTGCCCCATCGTTTGTGCACCAACACGCCAACCCCGTGAGAGGGCTGATCATGATCAGATCCGGCAAAAATATGGCCTTCGGCAGTCTCCCACATCTCTGAAACTGCTGTCCTCCAGGTTTCGTTGAACAGTATGAAGTCCCAGTGTTCTGTGCCCATCTCGATGATCACCTCATCAATGCGGTCATCGTTAAGAGAACGTGCATTTGTGTGAAGTACCGTTAGTGACCACGTGCCATCTTGGGCTGTGGCTTGATGGTCTCGCCGGTGTCTTGGTTGAGATGGTTCACTGTGAATGCTTAGCACGTGTGGAGGGGCCTGAAGAATGCAAGCGGGAACGTCGCCGTCGACGTGGGTGTAATCGGCTCTACCCCCGCCTGTGCTCCTGGGTGGATGTGCGGAGTGGTGTGCTGGTGGACGCTGGGTCAGAGGTGGGAGCAGGAGGTCGGTAGGTGGAGGTGGGCTGTGGAAGGCTGGTGTTGCGTGTCGCTGGTTGTCAGAGTTTTGAACGTGTAGGTCGATAGCTGGAGCTGGAAGTTGTGATAGGTGGGGGTTGCTGGTTAGAGCTGGTTGTTGTGGGTCGATGGTTAGAGGAGAAGGAGGAGGAGGAGCAGGAGAAGAGGAGGAGGAAGAGGAGGAGGAGGCGAAGGAGGATGAGGAGGCGACTGAGGAGGTGACGGAGGAGGCGAAGGAGGAGGCGGAGGAGAAGAGGAGGAGGAGGAAGGGAAGAGGAGAAGCGGAGGATGATAAGGATGAGTGAAGGGGCCCTGGGACACACAAATGAATACACACAAATGAAACATTTCCCCACATTTTCAAATATTTTCTGGGTTTCTGTCTTCCCGCCCACTTCCCATATTTTCTCATATTTTCTGGGACTCGACGATTAATTGTGTCTGTGTGTTTTTTCTCCTCCTGAATGAGAAGGATGAGGAGGCGACTGAGGAGGCGGAGGAGGAGGCGGAGGAGGAGGAGGAGGAGGAGAAGGAGGCCCCTTTCGCCGCGCGGCAAGCCGCAGGGAGATCTCGGCCCGCGTGCCCCCCCCCGCCGCCCGCGCGGCGGCCCGCGCGGCGGGGGCGGTCAGGAGGGACACTCACCGTCGAGCGCCGCGCCCGCGCGTGCGGGCCCTGGGTGGGCAATAATATATACCCCCGTTGGATGGGCTATACCCCGGCTGGTTGGGTGATACCCCGGTTGGCCGGGGGAACCCCCTCTGGAATGTGAGCTTCGGGAGACTTTTTCCGCAATGGATGCCGGTTGTGAGCAATTTGTTATAATAACCGGGGGGCAACCCATCCGCAGCAAAGCTATTCTGAGTGGGCGGTTGCTATGTGAACCGTGTATCTCTAGATCTGAGTAATCGATGTGAACGGCTTACGGCTCCTATGTGAAACGTATACGAATCAAATATGAACCGTATACAATTCCACTGTGAATCGTATACGGCTCCTATGTGCATCGTATACGATCCCGATGTGAATCGTGTAGGAGTACTATTTGAAGCGCATACGAGCCAGATGTGACTCGTATACGATTCCAATGTGCACCGTAGGCGACCCCTAGATGAACCCCTATATGAGTCAGACGAGTCTTATGTAAACCGTATACGGTTCCAATGTGAATCGTAGACCATTCCATGTGAATCGTACACAAATCCTACGCGTATCGTAAACGATTCCTGTGTATCGTGATCCCTTGTGAATAGTCCGCCGATCTGGCGTGAGCCTCAGCAAGAGCTTCAGCTCTCAGCCCAAGCGAGAGCTTCAGCTCTGCTTTGGGGGGGGTCGCCGGGGTGGCTCTGCCGGGGAAGGGGGGAGGGGGGGCGCTCCTCCATCTCGCGTTTTCTTAATGATTTGCGCATCCCCAAGATGTTTCGGGGGGTACCAGGGCCCCCCCCCAGGACTCTCCCCTCTGGGGAATGGGGGAAGGGGGGGGGGTGCGGTCCCCCATCTGGCGTTTTCTTACTGATTTGCGCATCCCCAAAATGTCTCGGGGGGTCCCAGGGACCCCCTCAGATCTAACCGCTACCGCCCCCAGGACACTCCCCTCGGAACCCTTCAGGCACCCCCCCAGAGGGCACATCAGCTCCAAAAAGCGTCCCCGACGACTCCAAGAGCGCCCTCCCTCCCAAACAGCGTCCCCGACGACTCCAAGATCACCGAATCGGGAGCCCCCCGGATCGGCGGCACTGGCTGGAGACCATTACAATATACGGTTCCGATGTGAAGCGTATGCGACTCCGATGTGGGTCGTATACGACTCAGATATGACTTATAAGCGACTCTTCTGTGAACCGTATACGATTCACACGTGGGTCATATACCAATCCTGTGCGAATCGTACGCGAATCCTACGTGAACAGTATGCGCATAAGTGACTCGTCCACGACCCCCACGTGAATCGCATGCGGCTCCTGTTTTGATCGTATACGATTCCAATGGCAATCGTATACAACTCCTATGTGAATCGCATGCGCTTCCTATGTGAATCGTATACGCTTCCAATGTTAGTCGTAGACGATTCCTGTGTGAAACGTACACGCGTGACGCGTGCTATGTGAAGCGTACGAACCGTATACGAGTCTTCTGTGAAGCGTACTCCTATGTGAAACCTACACGCGCGCTATGTGAATCGTACGAACCGTATACGGTTCTATGTGAATCGCATACGGTTCCAATGTGGATCGTATACAGGCCCATGTGAATCGTATAGTACAGGTCCTAAGCGTATCGTATTCGGTTCCTGTGTGAACCGCATACGATTCCCACGTGAATCGTATACGAATCGTGCGTGAATCGAAGCGTATACGATTCCTACGTGGGCCGCGTACGTTTCCCATAATCGTAAACGGTTCTGATACAAATCGTGTACGAACCCTTGGCGAATCGTACATGGTCCCCATGTGAATCGCACAGGGTTTGTGTGTGAACCGGATACCGTTCCTATGTTGGTCGTCTACGATTCCTATGTGAATCGCATGCGATTCCAGAAAGGAGCCGTAAAGAACCCTAAACGAATCCTTAGGAATCTCACAGATCCCTCAGGAATCCGACGGAATCTGACGCAATTCTAAAGAGGCCGCAGGACTCCTAAAGAACCCCTGATGAGCATCAGGAATCGTAAAGACTGTGCCGAGATGGAATCCTGAGAAAATCCTCGTCATCGTCATTACCATTACCATCATCACCATCATCATCATCATCATCATCATCATCATCACCATCATCACCATCATCACCATCACCTTCACCATCATCATCAGCATCATCATCGTCGTCATCGTCATCCTCCTCATCATCATCATTCATCATCGTCCTCATCCTCATCATCACCACCACCATCACCATCATCACCAGCATCTTCAGAATCATCAGCATCATCAGCATCATCAGCATCGTCATCATCGTCATCATCAGCATCATCCTCACGATCACCATCACCATCATCATCCGTATCATCATCATCATCACCATCATCATCATGCTCATCAGCATCAGCATCAGCATCATGACCACCATCACCATCACCATCATCATCACCATAACTATCACCGCCATCATCATCACTACAACCACCAGCATCATCATCACCATCACCACCATCATCATCAACATCATCATCATTCTCTGTCAGCATCATCATGATCACCACCATCACCACCACCACCACCATCACCATCATCATCATCATCATCATCATCATCATCATCATCATCATCATCATCATCAGCAGCATCGTCATCATCATCATTATCATTATCATCATCATCATCACCACCACCATCATCATCATCATCATCATCATCATCATCATCATCATCATCATCATCAGCATCAGCATCATCATCATCATCATCATCCCTCCTTCTTCCTTCCGCGTTGTCCTATGTTCCTCATCCTCAACGTCCCTCCCCTTCTCATCTTTGATCCCTGCCACCTGCTTCCTCTCCTCCTCCCCGTGAGCTTCAAAACAACCATTCTGAGCGCCCGAGGCATAAAGATGCTCATTGCGGATCGTCGTGTCTGACGAAAATGGGCAACAAATAGAAGGACACCCCACCTCCGAAGACCATGTTGTTATTCATATTCGCGCCGGCTGTATCTGGCCATCTTGGCAGCACATCCAACCAACCCTGTGGGCGCAGGTGCTCTAAAGATGTCTCTCTTTCCGCTTCCAAAGACCCTCTTCCCTCTGGAGGGGAGCCGCTCTCCCCCTCCCTGATTTTTTGGGGACGAAGTGTCAGAGAGTGCGTGTTCGCCCGCGATGGCTCCAAGAGAGCCACCGATGCTCCAAGATGGTCTCCACAATGTCCCGAGATGGCGCAAGCTCGCTCAAGATGGACCCCAGTGCTCTCGGAGCCCACGAAGGAACACCCCAAGAAGCCAACATTAAGGAGGTGGGGAGGGGGATGAGGAGGGGAAGGAAGAAGATGGAGGTGGGGGGAAGGGGGAGAAGGAGGGGGAGGAAGAATAGCGAGGTGGGGGGGAGGAAGAATATGGAGGTGGCGGGGGGGGGGCCGAGGATGTATATGGAGACACGGGGGAGGTGTTTGGTGTTTGGTGATTGGTGCATGGTGTCTGGTGCGTGGTGATTGGTGTATGGTGTATGGTGCATGGTGTTGGATGTATGGTGTTTGGTGCATGGTGTATGGTGCATGGAGTTTGGTGTATGGTATTTGGTATATGTTCTTCTCGTTCTCCTGCCCCTCCTCCCCCTCCTCCTCCTCCTCCTCCTCCTCCTCCTCCTCCTCCTCCTCCTCCTCCTCCTCCCCACCCCCGCTGAGGGGCAACCATAGGGGGGGTCTGGCGTAGGGGTGGACACATCGACCTGGACTCGGCGATACATCGGCGATAGGCCCCCGACGGTGAATATCCGAACGCCCATGGGCAGGTTGGGGCCGTCGGGCCCCTATCGGCGATAAACGGGCGATTGGGGGTCGATGCATCCCCCCCTGTGAAGGGGTCCCAGGACACACAAATAAACACACACAAATAACAATATCCCCCATATTTTCGTATATGTGTGGTTTTTTCGTCTTCCCCCCCCCCATTTCCCATAGTTTTGCATATTTTCATGAGCATCGGCGATTAATTGTGTCTGTGTGTTTTTTCCCCTCCTGACCCTGAGCCTATCCCCCTCTATCGCTGCCCCTGACCCCGCCGTTCCTGGACAAGCTGGGGCCATCGGCCCAGATCGGCAATCAGTGGGCGATTGGGGGTCGATGCATCCCCCCTGAGCCTATCCCCCTCCATCGCTGCCCCTGACCCCGCCGTTCCTGGACAAGCTGGGGCCATCGGCCCAGATCGGCAATCCATGGGCGATTGGGGGTCGATGCATCCCCCCCGAGCCTATCCCCCTCCATCGCTGCCCCTGACCCCGCCGTTCCTGGACAAGCTGGGGCCATCGGCCCAGAGAATCAAAATCGGCAATCCATGGGCGATTGGGGGTCGATGCATCCCCCCTGAGCCTATCCCCCTCCATCGCTGCCCCTGACCCCGCCGTTCCTGGACAAGCTGGGGCCATCGGCCCAGATCGGCAATCAGTGGGCGATTGGGGGTCGATGCATCCCCCCCGAGCCTATCCCCCTCCATCGCTGCCCCTGACCCCGCCGTTCCTGGACAAGCTGGGGCCATCGGCCCAGATCGGCAATCCATGGGCGATTGGGGGTCGAGGCATCCCCCCCGAGCCTATCCCCCTCCATCGCTGCCCCTGACCCCGCCGTTCCTGGACAAGCTGGGGCTGTCGGCCCAGATCGGCAATCCGTGGGCGATTGGGGGTCGATGCATCCCCCCTGAGCCTATCCCCCTCCATCGCTGCCCCTGACCCCGCCGTTCCTGGACAAGCTGGGGCCATCGGCCCAGATCGGCAATCATGGGCGATGGGGGTCGATGCATCCCCCCCGCCATCGCTTGCCCCTGACCCCGCCGTCCTGGACAAGCTGGGGCCATCGGCCCAGATCGGCAATCAGTGGGCGATTGGGGGTCGATGCATCCCCCCTGAGCCTATCCCCCTCATCGCTGCCCTGACCCCGCCGTTCCTGGACAAGCTGGGGCCATCGGCCCAGATCGGCAATCCATGGGCGATTGGGGGTCGATGCATCCCCCCTGAGCCTATCCCCCTCCATCGCTGCCCCTGACCCCGCCGTTCCTGGACAAGCTGGGGCCATCGGCCCAGATCGGCAATCCATGGGCGATTGGGGGTCGATGCATCCCCCCCGAGCCTATCCCCCTCCATCGCTGCCCCTGACCCCGCCGTTCCTGGACAAGCTGGGGCCATCGGCCAGATCGGCCGATTGGGGGTCGAGCATCGGCCAATCCATGGGTTCCTGGACAAGCTTGGATCGGGTCGATTGGGGTCGATGCATCCCCCCCGAGCCTATCCCCCTCCATCGCTGCCCCTGACCCCGCCGTTCCTGGACAAGCTGGGGCCATCGGCCCAGATCGGCAATCCATGGGCGATTGGGGGTCGATGCATCCCCCCTGAGCCTATCCCCCTCCATCGCTGCCCCTGGGGGTCGATGCATCCCCCCTGAGCCTCCATCGCTGCTCCCGCCGCCATCGGCCCAGATCGGCAATAGTGGGCGATTGGGGGTCGATGCATCCCCCCGAGCCTACCCCTCCATCGCTGCCTGACCCGCCGTCGGACACCCTGGATCGGCCCAGATCCATGGGCGCGATTGGGGGGTCGATGCATCCCCCCCGGCCTATCCCCCTCCATTGCTGCCCCTGACCCCGCCGTCCCTGGACAAGCTGGGGCCATCGGCCCAGATCGGCAATACATGGGCGATTGGGGGTCGATGCATCCCCCCCGAGCCTATCCCCCTCCATCGCTGCCCCTGACCCCGCCGTTCCTGGACAAGCTGGGGCCATCGGCCCAGATCGGCAATCAGTGGGCGATTGGGGGTCGATGCATCCCCCCTGAGCCTATCCCCCTCTATCGCTGCCCCTGACCCCGCCGTTCCTGGACAAGCTGGGGCCATCGGCCCAGATCGGCAATCCGTGGGCGATTGGGGGTCGATGCATCCCCCCTGAGCCTATCCCCCTCCATCGCTACCCCTGACCCCGCCGTTCCTGGACAAGCTGGGGCCATCGGCCCAGATCGGCAATCCATGGGCGATTTCGGGGATGGACAGACCTCCCTTTAGTAAAACGTGGTTTAGTGAAAACGACTTCGGGCCCAAACCTGGCGGGCGCAAGCCTGGAAAATAACGGCCACGGCGCCCTCTCGAAAACCGAAAACGGACAATTCACCAATCGACGTGTCACTATTGGGGGTTCTGTCCACCCCCGACGATTGGGGGTCGATGAATCCCCCCATGACCTGAACTCCCATCTCCGATGGTTCTCGGGTCATACCTTGGGCCTCCGGCGGCCGTTCGGGAAGATCTGGCGAGGCGCAGCCGCTGGAAGGCATCCCGAGTCTGGAAAACCCTCCGGGAACCGAGGACAGCTGCCGCTGAGCCCATCCTTAGGTCGGGCACGTCCCCTCACAGGCAGAGCTTGGAGGAGAACCCCCAAAAAATGGTCGACAAACAACTACTCCCAAAGGGTCAAGATAGAGTATCAAAACATCGTCCCCCGACTATTTTTCGACTGATTTTGAAGATTCCTCCTGCAGGAGGGACGTGCCCGACTTAAATCTATCCCCCCCTATCTAGAGGCCTCCTAGATGGTGTCGGACTAGATGGGGTCGGAGGATCACACCGCATCGCCACTGCATCACCGATGTTTCGGCGATGCATCGGCGATGCATCGGCGACGTCGGCGACGCATCGGCGACGTCGGCGTGGGGAAACATGGGCTCCTCGTCGAGCCGCATCGTCGATGCATGGGCGATGCGTCGCGATCCTCCGACCCCATCGGGGAGGCTTAGACTATGGTTGCCCTGACTCCAGATCCGCCCTACTTTGGGGAAATTCGTACGTAGGGCTTGGAATTTCCGCCTTACTTTTCAAGCCCCGCTGATGCCAATTTCCGCCCTACTTTTCTGTTGCTGTTTCCGCCCTACTTCCGTGGATTTCCGCCCTATTTTATGTTGGGTGTAGAAGTTTCCGCCCTACTGCTTCGGCTTCTTATAGGTGGATTTCCGACGCAATTTAAGTTGGAAAAAAAGCCAAAGTAGGGCGGATCTGGAGTCAGGGTGCCCCAACGAAATGCCCAACAACAAGTGTTGTCCCAAACCAACAGCGGCCGCTGTTGGGCGGGCGGCCTTCTGTCTCGAATGGTCACAGGCCGCGGCGGCACCGACAGCGACTCCTGTCCAAGATGAACAGGAACTGCTGCTGGGCATTGTATCCAATTCTTTCTGTACCCATCTCGTGCGTGCAGAACCTGGGAGGCCCAGATACGAGACCGATGTTGCATCACGGCAGCAATTCGGCCCCCGACTTTCGTCCTGGGCTCGGCTTAGTGAAGTGATGAACTTCGGGGCCCTCACGTGGGAAAAAACACCACTTCACTAATCTGGGGCCCCTGGGGCCTCAGTGGGCCCTGGGGCCCAAAATTAGTGAAGTGATGATTTTCGGGCCTCGGACCAGACCACCCAGAGATCCGATGTCGTGATTTTTTCAATACGGGGTCCCCGGAAGTCTCGACCCATTCCCCAGGACCGGTTTTTCATTCTGAGTCGTTTTTTGACGGCCCCGAGGTCCGGCGAGGGCCCCTAGGGGCCGAAATTTGAGAAAAACCTCCGTCTTGATTTTTTCAATACGTTGGATCTCTGGGCATGCTCGCCCCTGGCCCCCCGCAGCCCCGGCCTGGCCGCGCGAGGGCCACGGCGCCGCCGGCCTCGCCCGAGGAGCCCGCCGGGCAGGAGCCCGCCCCGCCTGCGGCTCCGGGCCCGGCTGCGGGGCGGCCGCCCCTCCTCGTCCTCCTCGTCCTCCTCGTCCTCCTCGTCCTCCTCCTCCTCGTCCTCGTCCTCCTCCTCCTCCTCCTCCTCCTCCTCCTCCTCCTCCTCGTCTTCATCGTCCTCCTCGTCATCCTCCTCCTCCTCCTCGTCCTAGTCCTCCTCCTCCTCCTCCACTCCTTTTCCTTGTGAAGAACTTCTCCCCGTCGCACCCCGAGGCCAGTTTTCAGGGCGGGCCGGGCGTTTCGCCTGAGACTTCCTCACCACTGTTGACTCTGAGGCGTAAAAAATGGCAACAGCTTCACAAATGGAGGGCGGGTCGTTCTCAAAGTGCGGCTCTCGCCTCAGCGGCGCGCACATTCGTTTTCAAAATGTGCAGGGAGTTTCACGGATTGAGGGCGGGTCGTTTTCAACATGTGGTTCTCGCCTCCCATTTGCAAGAGCTTCTCAGATGGAGGGCAGATCGTTTTCAAAAAGTGGCTCGCGCTTTAGCGCCGCGCACACCTTGTATTAAAAAAGTGTAAAAGTTTCACGGATTGAGGGAGCGTCGTTTCCAAAGTGCGGCTCTCGCCTTAGCGCCGCGCACATTTCGTTTTAAACATTGCAAGGAGCTTCACGGATTGAGGGCGGGTCGTTTTCAAAATGTGGCTCTCGCCATAGCGCCGCGCACAGTTGTTTTAAGCATTTGCAAGAGTTTCGCGGATTCCTATGACCAGCGTACCAGAAATGGCGTTCTGGACGGATTCAGGATTATGCGGGCGCAACAATTATGTTGATTCGCGGTGTTGAAGTCCCAAAAACTGCGCTCTGTCGCGATTCCAGATCGCCAGGACGCAGCAGTCAGGTTGATCCGTGGCGTGGAAATCCCGAGAGCAATGTTTTGGCATGCTTCGGGGTCTTCAAACTGTTGTCTTCCCTCAAGTGAAACGAACCGTTGTATGCGGCCTCTGAGGAGGGAGCTTGGAGGGAGGGTCAGTTCCAACATCGTTGATGACTCTTGGGTTTACATTGGTCCTCCTCCTCCTCCTCCTCTTCTCCTCCTCCATCCCTCCATCCCTCCATCCCTCTTCCTCCTCGTCCTCCTCCGTCCCTCCATCCCTCCATCCCTCTTCCTCCTCGTCTTCCTCCATTCCCTTTCCTCCTCCTCCTCCTCCTCCTCCTCCCTCTCCTCCTCCTCTTCCTCCTCCATCCCATTTCCTCCTCCTGCTCCTGCCCCTCGTCCTCCTCCTCCTCCTCCTCCTCCTCCTCCTCCTCCATCCCTTGATCCCTCCATCCCTCTTTAGGGCTATCGGGCTACAGGGCATTAAGGCTATGGGGCTATAGGGCTACAGGGTTATAAGGCTATATAACTATAGGGCTATGGGGCTATAGGGCTATACGCCTATAGGACTATTGGGTTATGCGGCTGTAAGGCTACAATCTTATAGGGCTATATTTATATAGGGCTATACAGCTATGAAGCACCCGGGCACCTGGGCACCCGGGCGGGCCGCGGAAATCGGTGGCAAACCTCACCAACCTGTATGAATCCGCTTCTCGGACCCCCTACAGAGGCAAGCTCTGACTGGGGAAAAAAACAACACACCAAAAAGAAGCGACGCCACGATAATACGATTGACCGCCATCCCACAATACTTTTTTTAGCGCGGCCGCAGATTGTGGGAACTCGTTTTCTTCGCAACGTCACCACGGCACCACGCTCTTGTTGGTATCGCGTAGTTTCTTGGTGACCGTATGGAAAGACGCAGAACGCTTGCAACTACACAGGCCCACAAACATAACATCCAGGAATTAGTTTTGCTCCTCTACCCCTCCTTCTCCTGATATTCCACTTCTCTTTCCTCCCCGTCCCCGTCCCCCCTCCTCCTTTTCTATCTTCTTCGTCGCTATCTTCCTCCTCTTCTTCTTCCGCCTTCCAGCGAACTCACGATTGTGCCCCAGACTTTTCACAAGCTGTTACATTCTCCCATCAGAAACCTCCAGCTCGCGCTCAGCTGCCAGGTCCTCACACGAAGCGCCGCCGAATTCTGAACGCATTTGGGCGAACGGCCCGCGCTGCAGACAACGCGGCGTAATTTTTCCACGCGCCGAATCATAGTCGCGATGAATGTAATGGTGATGATAAGTACGTTGATGGTAACAATTAAGAGAATGAGAGACCGATCAAATGATGATGATGAACAGGAGCAAACGTGCTGTTTTTTATATTTCATAACTAACGCTGGCGCCCTCGATGTGTTGCGCCCCTGCGATTGCGAACAAGAGCAGGCTTCTTGCGCGCGCAGCGCCGAATGTAAAAACGAAAAGGTTCGTTGTGAGGACGTGCGTGCGGTCCTCCTTCTGGCTAAAGTATGCGTCAAGTTGTTCACCTGCCTGTGTGAGCCCTTTTTTTGCTCACTGCTGGAGTACAGTCCTTCCTGCTCTCAGACAAGGAGTGTCGGCTGCGCCGCGCGCAGAACTGCCGAACAAGAAATCTGTAATGGGCCCCCCGCGTTGTCTATAGAACCCGCATCTGGTTCGACTTGGGCCAGAGCTGCTCGGTTGCTTGAGAATTGCAAGTCGGCTTCTTGTTCTTCGGGGAGCGGGGCGCATCACAATTTTCCAAAAACATGGAATCCTTCAAGATATCGGCCACCAGAGAACAAGGTTTCTTCCCAGTCCTGATACATGCAATTGCAACATCCAACATAATCGCGAACGGAGAATTTACACTTCTTTAAGTGTCGCAGCGCTCCCTTTTCTGCAGTCCGCGCAGTCGTGATTCATCATGTCTCCCAGGTGGCGAACTGCATTCAAGGCTCCTGCTTGACCTCTCTTCTTCGTATCCGCTGTAACCCAGAGACCTCCAATTATGGTTCATCTCTTTTTAGTTCGACAGCCTTTTTTGACGTGCTGACATCGTCGGTCTTTTTTGTCAACAGCGGGTCTACCATTATTTGTATAGGTTCCTTGGACTGCTTCTTGTCTTTCATTGTGACGCGCGTTGCTCGCTCGTCCCCATCCGCTACGACGCCTTGAAGTGCATCCATGCATCCGTTTTGCTTGAACTGTTTGTCCTGTTAAGCTGCGTTGAATATTTCAACAAAAAAGCCTTCGTTCTCTACGCCATGCTCAGGGTCTTCCCTGGGATGGAATCTGTAATGTCGAAATCCCACACTTCTTCTTGAATCCTGAGGTAATAACACAAAGCGTAGTGAATCGTTCGCCCGAGAAAACCATCCATCTGATTTCTTTTGTTCTTTTCTGATGTCCCCTTTTCCTTGCGCTGTGGCTTCCAATCTGGGTACACCAATAAGATGGCCACCTCGTCCGTGGCGGTGAACTTCCCGCGGTGAGTGTGCGAGACATGTTCCTTAACAACAAACCACAACAAACCTCCTCTCCTCCTCGCTGTCAGTTTCCCCTCTACATTTTCATCCTCAACATATTCATATTCGGCGCCCTTATGTTCTCTCTTCGTATCCCCTTGGTCCTGAATTTCATCCCGCTCGCCACTCACATTCCCGATTTTCATTCGGGGGTGGATCGTGGAAGTGAGATTATGGTGGTTTTCGGATCGGATGTTTATCAAACGTGCGTTTTCAAATTCAAGCCCAGTATGCCATGCCCCAGGGCCCCTTCCGTGCAAGCATTGTTCTGGGTGTTTCAATCGATTGGCTGTGTCTGGCACAGGAGGAGGAGGAGGAGGAGGAGGAGGAGGTGGAGGAGGAGGAGGAGGAGGAGGAGGAGGTGGGGAGGTCGAGGAGGCCGAAAAAGAGGAGGAGGGGAGGAGGAGGGGAAGGGGGGAAGAGGAGGAGGAGGAAGAGGAGGCGGAGGAGGCAGAGGAGAGGAGGAGGAGGAGGGGAAGGAGGAGGAGAAGGAGGAGGAGGAGGAGGAGGAAGAGGGGAAGGAGGAGGAGGAGGAGGAGAGCAAGGAGGAGGACGAGGAGAGGAGGAGGCCGGGGAGGAGGAGGGGGCGGAGGAGGACGAGGAGGAGGAGGAGGAAGAGCAGGAAGAGGAAGAGGAAGAGGAGAGGAGGAAGGGAGGAGGAGGAAGAGGAGGAGGTCGCCTCCGGAACCGTCGGCCTCGTCCGCCACGCCGGCCTGCGCCAGAAAGGTCCTCACATTGGCGGGCCGCCCCTCTCCGCTCTGCTGCGCCCCCCCGCCCCGAAGAGCAACGTTACCCGCCGCTCGGAAAAAGTAGGCTTAGTCGGAAGGCGGAGGAGAGAGTTGTGAGGAGGGGGAGGAGGACGAGGAGGAGGAGGAGGAGGAGGAGGAGGAGGAGGAGGAGGGGGAGGAGGAGGAGGGGGTGGAGGAGGAGGAGGAGGAGGAGGAGGAGGAGGAGGAGGAGAAGGAGGAGGAGGAGGAGGAGGAGGAGGATCAGGAAGAGGGGAAACAGGAGGATTCGGGGAAACGTAGTTCGGGCCCACCCAAACAATCACAAAACACAGCAAAGGCAGATCGATTGTTGAAGCAGGACGGCGCTTTTAAGTCAGATTGGGGTCTGGGAATCCGAAATCACATACTTTCAACGACCAGCGCGGAAGGATGCCGAGGTTTCGAGGTGGAGGTTTGAGGTTTTCGGACGACTCGTTGGTCCTCGGCGGCTGTTGGGATGCCTCCCAGCGGCCGCGCCCCCCGCAAACGCGGGAAGACCACCGAAACCACTCCCTCGAAAATGAGGCCACGATCCGCCTGAAACCGTCAAACTAATCCCATCATTCAGCCACCTGCGAATGCTGAGACCAGGGCCCCCCGCAACAAGGCGCAGCGAAAAGAAGAGGACGAGCGGCACGGAGCGGCACAACTCCAATGTGCCGAAGCAGCTGCCCACAGCGGGCCAGTTCTGAAACAAGTTCAGAAGCAGGGAGAGGCCCCTGACAAGCAGCATCAGCGTGGAGGGGGCCGTCGCAAACTCCTGTCTCAGGCGAGAACCGCGCCGCCCGACTCGAACGAACAGCGCCATCATGTCTCGACGACAGAGCCGCGCCCAACCGCGAAGCGATCGCCTCATCGCCCCGAGCTGCTCTTGAAAAGGGGCCGCGACTTCCGCCCGAACAGACCCGTCAGACCTCAGCGAGAAAGCCGCGTCCAAACGCGGCGCGGCCGCTTCTGGCTGCTCCTGGAAAGATGCCGAGACCTCCGCCCGAGACGGCTGCGCGCCGGCGCCGGGACACGTGGGGGCCGGCCCGCGACGCGCACCGCCGCCAGGAAGATGCCCGCCACCGCCGGGGCGATCAGCGCCAGGAAGATCTGCGCGGTCCGCCGCGCCACCAGCTGCCCCAGGAGGTCGGGCAGACCGGCGCCGCGGGCAGGGAAGTCGAGGGAGGAGCACCGCCAGGCCCGGCAACGCGGCCCAGGTGATGGAGGCCAGGCCCCTCGCCAGGAAGATCAGCAGCTCCGCGCTGGAATGGCATGGCGTTGAAGATCAAAGCGAAGCATGGCATGGCGTGGCACTGCGTAGTCAAGCACTGCATATGCTGGCATTGTAGCTGAAGGCATGGCATCGCACAGCGGAACACCACATAGCATTGGATTGCATGCCATGGCATGACGCCAGCCGACGGGAGCACGATTCGGAACGAGCGGAAGCGCGGAAATGAGGCACGCGCTGCAGCGGGAGCGCGATTCGGAACGAGCGAAGCGCGGAGATGAGGCCAGCGCTGCAGCGGGAGCACGAAGCAGAACGAGCGGAAGCCCAAAAATGAGGCCAGCGCTTCAGCGGGAGCAACATTTAGGAACAAAAACAAGCGAAAACCCAACTCCGGGGAATCCTGCGTACAGAACAGTACGCGGAGGGGGGCCGAACATCTTCCAGACGTTATCAGGTCATCAGGGGAGAGAGTAGTATTCACACTGTGTAATTGTAAAGGAAAGGGGGGGGGGACGTGATCCACAACACAGCAGCGCATCAGGACGATTCGGCGGCCCTCAAAAGCTCTGCGATCTGGGCCTCCTGCAACTCCTCCTCCTCCTCCACCTCCGCCGCCCTCTTCCTCGTCCTCGCTCCCTCCCCTCCTCTCCCCCTCCTCTTCCTCCTCGCCCCTATCCTCCGCCCTCCTCCTCCTCCTCCTCCCCCCCCCCCCGGGGCGCCTCCTCAGCGCCTCCAGCTTCGCCTCCGCCCGCATGACGTCCGCCCGGATGGGCTCGCTGCGCGCCAGGTCTGCGGCCGACTGGCCCGCGGAGTTCCGCGCCTCTGGGCCAAAGGGGAGCACGAAGGGGGGGGATTGGATGGAATTCCGCACCTCTCTGGGCCAGAGAGGGGGACACAAGGATGGGAAGGATAGGAGGGACAGGGGAGAAGGTTCCGCACCTGGGCCGGAGGGAAGAGAGGCGAGGCAAGCCAAAGGGCAGATGGGGGAGAAACATGTCGACATGCGCGCGCGACGACGGGCGCGCGTGCACTTCGTCCCTTTTTTCTTGTGTAAGGGATTCTTGGAAACTGATGATTTTTGATAAACGAGTGCGCGCATAGGACTTGTTGAAGCGGATGAGGGGGGCAATAGCGGCCTGCTTGGGATGGTGTGAGTTCATATTTAGGATGGACGATCGGGCAGAATCATCTGTAAATTGCAATGCAAAAAGGTGTACCATTAACCCCGGGGGGGTAGATCCTTATGCTCTTTCAGAAAAGAGGATAACTGTGGGCAACAGATGTTATGCAATTTAGGTTGTGCAATATATGTGGCGCAATACATGTTGTACAATATACATGGTGCGATTAATGTCGTACACTCTACGTGTTGCCATCAATAACTTGCTCAATTTGAAAACGTCCTCTCCATTGCTCGTGCAAACATCCCACCCTCCCACCCGCAACTTCGTCGCAGGACCTCTTGAGACCGTGACGGTGGGTACCAAATGGCACTTGGCAACGACACCGACGCCGACGACGACAGCGACAGCGACGACGACGGCGCCGACAACGACTACGACGGCACCGACGACGTCTCCAACGATTTCGACGACGACGACAACGACGACGACGACGACGAGGACGACGACGACACCGACGACGCCGACGCCGACGACGATGACAACGACGACGACGACCCCGACGACGACGACGACGACGCCGACGACGAAGACGACGACGACGTCGCCAACGATGACGACGACGACGACGAGGGAGGAGGGAGGACGACGACGGCGGCAACGACGACAACGACGAGGGAGGATGGAGGACGGCGACGACGCGAACGACGAAGAAGGAAGGAGGACGGCGACGCCGACGACGACAACGACGGGGGAGGAGGGAAGACGACGACGACGACGACGGCGACGAAATAGGAGGGACAACGACGAAACGCCGACGAAGACGAGAGAAGAAGGACGCCCACGGCGACAACGACGACGGAAACGACGACGACGCCAAGACGACGACGGCGACGAGGAAAGACAGAGGACAACGACGGCAACGACGACGACGACGACGAGGGAGGAGGGAGGACGGCGACGACGACGACGACGACGACGACGCAAGAGCGCGCGCGCACGCTTTTGTTGAAAATCCGTGTTGCGAAACCTTGTGTTATTGTATGTGCTTTGGACACTTGGTTTTGAAATCCTTCCGAAACCGAAGGTTTTTGAAGGATTTCGGCATGCGCGCGCGACGACGCGCGCGTGCGCACTTCGTCCCGTTTTTTGCGGAGGATTCTCGCGACGGCACGCGCGCAAGGGCGTTCGAAAGATTTCGACATGCGCGCGCGCGCAAAGCCCGCTTGGTAGCATTTCTTCAAACTATAAAAGAACATATGGTTTTCTTCAGATTTCGCAAGAGCCCGCGCGTAAGTTTGTTAGAAACTCAATGTTGCGAAACAATGCTTTTGTATGATTTTGGGAAACTCGATTTTGAATCCCTCCGAAACCGAAGGTTTTTGAAGGATTTCGGCATGCGTGCGCGACGACGCGCGCATGTGCACTTCGTCCCATTTGTTGCAAGGGCTTATTGGAAACTCGTGGTTTTTGATAAACGAATGCGCGCGCATAGCATTTGTTGCAAAGGATGGCGGGGGGGAGTGATACCGGCCTGGCTGGGATAGTATGAATTCACAGGTAGGATGGACGAGTGTGCAAAATAAATACGAAATGACAATACCCCAGGGGGGACCGTCAACTCTGGGGGGGGGTAGAGTCTATTCTTCTTTTAGAAAAGAGAATCTAGATTGTCAAGTATGGTATAGCCGCTAGAAGGGACCATAATCGCCAAACGATCGGTCGAAAACGCTCTCACGTCCTCCAGACTGCCCGGGAGACCTCCAAGAAGCCCCCAGGGACTCCCGAGAGAACCCCATCGCCGCCCTCCCCCTGCTCCTCCTCCTCCTCCTCCGTCTCTTCCTTCACCTCCTTCGCCTCATCGGCGACGTCTTCCGCCTCCTCCTCATGCGGTTTTTCCTGCTTCTCCTCCTCCTCCTCCTCCTCCTCCTCCTCCTCCTCCTCCTCCTCCTCCTCCTCCTCCTCCTCCTCCTCCTCCTACCTCGTCGTGGTCAGCGCCGTCGTCTTCAGGGCGGGTGGCACCAGCCGCACGGCCCTCGCAGTAGAGCATGGCCGCCAGGCCGCCACGCTGGCACCCCCGACGACCGGCGGCTACGAGGCGGCGCTTGGGCGGCGTTGGCGACAGCACGGCCGCCAGACCACCACTAGGGGGAACACAAACCTACCTCGCTTTTGACGACCCTCGCTTCCAAGAGATACCAAACGATGCCAAGCTGCAGCCTGTATTGGTCAGGCCGCTTGACGAGGAGGCGCGTGGTATGGCTTGGTTTTGCCTGGAAGCGAAAGCGGGGTAGGTAATGCACACTCTGAACCACACTCGCCCATGTCCTCAGCAACAAGCGAGGGCTCCTAAGTGCAAGCGCTGCCCTGGGAATAAGCAGCTCGGACCCATCCTGCATGCGACACGCAGAAGTGCGCAGGGGGGCGTGCCACCTTCCGGCCGTCCTCGGGGGAGAAAGGGGAGCAACAGAGAGAGAAAGAGGGATGAAGTTTTTTTTTGGGGGGTCACCTTGGACCTCACCTCCACCCCTCTCAGTCCTTCGCACGAGCCTCCTTGGCCGCTACACGGGCACGGAGGGCATCCAGGCTTGAAAGGGGCGACGCACACGCTGGCGTCTGCTGGGGTCGGGACGCTACGACATGTGCTCGCGCCTCGACCCTCGTGAGCTGAGCCTCGAGCTCCGCACAAGAAACAGGTACATCGCGCTTCGGGTGCAGGCCTCTCCTGAGCCTTCGAAGCGCAGTAGTGCCTGCACTGCTCCTGTCGCTGTCTCTTAGGGGCCTGAGACAACGTGACAGGAGCATGTGCAGGCGGTGCTGGGCGTAGTAGCCACAGCTCATGCAGAAAAACAACGGACATGGCTCGTCCCCAACTTGCGTGCTTGCCAGGACGTGGCCATGTTCTGGCGAGATGGTCAGTAGCTCTTCGACCATCCTAGGAAAGCCCTCGCAGCCCACTGTCGGTCTGTCTTCCAGGGCGCCTGCATAAAAACTGAGGCAACTCGAACACCGATGGCCCCACAGCCAGGTGTCCCAAGTGTGCCAACCCTCGGCACGCTTAAACACTTTCTGCTTCTTGGCCCGCCGAGGAGGCCGAGTGTGGGTGACCCTGGGATAGAGCGACAGGACCTCCGCCAAAATCCGCGCCACCGTTTCGACTCTCTCGATCGAGCTCTTCACATCGTCCCACTCGCTTTGGCTAGCTTGTGGGTGCAACAAAATCGCTTGCTTCGCTTCGTGATCCGCGCGCCTGTTGGCACGACCTATGGACCGCTGAGGCTCTTCTAGCATATCTATCGTGGCTGAGTCCCTGTGTGCTGGGGTCCAGACGGCTGGGGCATACGCATCTCGTTCCATGTGCTGCAGAGCTCCGCGCCTGAGTCCAGCATACTTGCGTTTATGACTCAACTGAGAGACCGTGCTGGCATTGTGAAGCTTGACGGCATTCATACAATCACTGTAGCAGGCTTGCCCATACTTGGGCACGAAAATCGGGAGCAAGGCCAGCTGAAGTTGCTCTGCTGCCTGGCTCGTCTGAGGAAGGCTCGGCCAAACGGGGCATTTTGCAATTGCCACCTGCTCTCCGTCCCTTCCCATGAACACCCATGAAAACGCTGCTCGTGATAGATCTCGAATCTGGTGCGGGACACACGACCCGTCCCCCGCCACATTCAAATCAGTAGTGTCGAAGTCCGCCCAGTCCATTCGCTGACCCTCGGCGCTATACAAGTAAGGCTCGTGCTGGTCGGACAAAGGCGGCATATCTTTGACGGGGTTGACAAACTTTAGACCAGCGTAGAAGTTGTGCTCCCCTTCCCTCGCCCTCTGAATGAAGCTGTCCTTTTCCCCCGTACTAGTCCTAGCCGCCGAAACCTCGGGGCTGGCACAACGGTAAATCCTATGGGCAACAGAATCTGGCTCCCCGCACAGCGGGCAGCAACCTGTCGAATAATAACCAGCCTGCCGCGCCCGATCCTCGGTCCAGAGTCCGTCGCAAAAGACCGTTTTGACCAAGTACTTGCCTTGGGCATTCAGTCCTATGCCTCGGAGTCTAGGCTGAGTGATACGTCGCAGCGGCCCGACGCAGACACGATCTCCTACAGGCCATCCGAGCTTCTGTCCCAGGACCCGCTCGCGGTGGCGTTGCACCCCTTCTTTCAAGAGCGCGGAGATCATGGCAGGGGAGTTGTAAAGCAGACTCAACTCGATTCCCCTATCGTCGACCCACATCAAAAACGAAGTCGATTTCCACCCGATGCGAAAAAGCGACAAAAACATCCGACTGATAGGACCCCTCGTCTTCCCCCATTTCCACCCCTCAATTCCTTCCTGGGAGATGGAGTCCCACATGCTGCGAAGCTGGGGCAGCGTGAAACTGGCCGTGCACGGCGCCGTCGTGGTGCTCCACGCAGCGGCTGCCCAAGCGAGCGCAGGAGCGACCATGCTCCTCCACATCGGATCGCCTAACAGAGCTGTCTTGGCAGTGAGTGAAACCCCTCCATGACACGGCGCCTGATAGGAAAGCATCACCCCTCGCGCGCGCTTAAGTTCAGCGTCAGACATTCCAGTCACCGTATCTCCAAAACTGACCGCGGGCTTAACGCTTGCGGTGTAAATCTTACCGATTATGTATTTGTCCCTCGGCAGAGCTTTCCTATACCGCTGGAGCCTTCGGTGTCTGCGAATCATGCCCGCAACTCGGGCCTTGCGTTTGCCAAGAGCTTGTTTGGTGCTGCGTTTCGCCCCAGGAGCTAAATCGACCCCGAGCGAGACCACGTGGGCCCCGACCGCCCCAGCCAGCGTTCCGAGCCTGCGTCCGACTCGCAGCGACAAGTCGGGGGTGGAGCCGAAGGTCATGAGTTTGTCGGGGGCCAAACCAACACCTAAATCTCCCTTAAAAACACGTTCCAGGCCCTCAGCTGCCTGGCCGAGAACTTGGACCACATGGTCCGCCGAGCCGCGCGCGCTGACGGTGTCGTCGTCGACGTACGAAGCAAGGTCAACAGCAGGATTCCTGGCAACGAAACCGTCGAACGGGACCATAGCATAAACTTTAACGTTGATATCATTCAGGCAGGATCCTGCTGGCAACCCACACTTCGCGCACATCGGAGAAAGGCTGTGGTCAGAGCCAAGCCGCAAAACCCGAGGCCCGCGCCAAACATTGTAGGTCACCTTGACCACGATGGGGTTAAGGCCCGCCTGCAGGGAGCGATCCCTAAGCGCGGTGAGCCTGAACGATTCATAATACTTGGTGCCATCCCAAGAAAAACCTCCCGTGACACCCCCTTCGGCCACTTGGGCCTCCGCTTTGACCGCCTGCTTCCATATTTCAGCCTCCGCCGACTTCCCCGCCCCAAAAGCCCAATACTTGCGCGGGTGCGCGTCGCAGTGCGGGAGCAGCTGCGGTCGCCTGAGCTTTTCCCACAGGCGAACAGGAGAGGCACAGAGCAGGACAGGACACAAACCCCCTTTTGGTTTCTCGAGGAGGGGGAAGAGCATCCAATACAGGGCCTTCGGGTAGACCCCGATCTTTTCAACAGTTTGAAACAGGCAACTGAGCACTTCGAGCCCCGCGTCGGGGAGCAAGCTGAAGTGCCGCACATGTATACCGTCAAGAGACTGCGCAGTGTGTGGTGAGAACCCTCTACTGGCAGCCCGAATGTCATCAGGCGTGAGCCTGTCGAAACAATTTCTGCCCAAAACCTCAAGAGGTTCTGGCATGGGCGTCGCTTCCCAGAATTTACCTAACACGTTGGCTTCATTCGCGAGCAGCTTACGCGGGCCGGCCGAAACAATCCCAGGAGCCGTTTCAACCGCGGTCGGCATCCAAGCGCTTTTGTTCCGGGTGAGTTCATGCATCTTGCGGGCTGACCCCGAGAGGGCTTCCGACTGCCACTGGTCCCAGCTCACCTTAGCTTTATTGTCGAGGCCAGCGCGAGCTTCGGCAAAATCCTCCTCCCAATCATCGAGCGCTTCGGTACATCGATCAATCCACCCAGACAGATTTGCCGCTCGCTGAGGCCAAGACTCCGCCAGACGGCGGGCCGCTTGCACAGTGGTGTCTAGCCGCACAGCTCGGCCTTCAGCTTCAAAAGGCTGCTGAACTATCTGTGCCAAGTTCCTGCAGGCCTCGAGCTCAGCGCGGTCGACGAGGTCGGCCTCATAAATTCGAATACTGGTCTGTTGAAGGTCTCGCATGGTCTGCTGAAGCCAAATCCACCCTTCCCAGACTAAAACCTCCTCCTCGACCTTCCTCTTCGGGGGGGAGACAATCGAAACCCACTTAGCACACAAAGGCTTGCCCCTGCCCCCTCTGGATTTTAAAGTCACCCCGACCAGATTTTCGAGTTCAACTTCCATAACATCTGAAAATCGTTTCCAGGCCTCATTCAGCAGAGTCCACGCAAGAGTGACAGAAGCACTGCTGGCAGCCGTGTTGGCCTCCTCGGCCAAAATCCTGGCTAAACTCCAATCCTGGGGTTTTGGTGACGGACCAAAAGGGACCTCACAGGGAATGCGTTGGTGGGTCTGGTAAACAAGCTGTTTCAGTTTTATCGCACCTTGCTTAAAGATAAGCTGCACTGGCCGATGAGGTCGCTTGGGCCAGTTCTTCACAACATCGGTCTTGTCGACCATCTTGGCTACCGCTGGGGACACAACGAAGTAATCGATCCGAGAGTGGGACTTCGCCGTCACACAGGTTTCGATCTTCGGCTGGAGGATCAACATATCGGCTTTCCTCAGTAACCCCGTAAACTCGATTATCGTCGGCCCCAGGTTCCAATCAGCCCCGAAGATGGCCATGTGGGTCCCCTGGAGCGTTTCCCCGATCAGTTTGAGCAACTCGAGGTTTCGTTTCGACAGCCCCTCGGTGGTGTACAAATAAGCACAGCCAGCCCAAATCGGCGGCCACCCTGGCATGTCCAACATCGCAAACAGCAGACGGTGTTCGACGAGTACCCCTCGCGGCAGGTGTGGAGGCCAACGAAGTCCGATACTCGTCCTGGCAAAAATCGCTACTCCAGCCGACGTCTGCCCCGCATCGCAGGGCACCGAAGGTGTGCAGAGCATATGCCATCCCATACCAAGAGCTTTTGCAGTCTTGTCACCCACATCTTCGCCCGTGATCCCGATCGCCTGGGCGAGCAGAACCAAGGCTGAGCTCCGAGCAAGACGTTCCGAGAGCGTGCCCCAGCTGTTACCGTTATAGGACTCGCACACAAACTGGAAATTATCTGCCGTGGGGTCGTCGGCAATCGGAGTGGGCGGACAGCCTGACCCCATGGCCGAAATCTTGAAACCCGTGCACAGCGGCTGGCCTGCGAACGGGGCCAGACTAGAATGCTTAACGTGACCTCGGTCCCTCCAAAGATACGAGCATCTGAGTTCGCCACTCGAAACGCCCGAGAGGAGGATCCGCTCCTGGTGTGAAAAGGTGCCGTCGGCGAGCTCCGCTCGCCGAAGGCTGCTGCTGTCGTGCCGCTGCGCTCCCGAGGAAGCGCTCAGAACACGACGTCCATGTAGTACATCATGATGTGCGCCGTCAAAGATGCCCTGGAGCTGGTGGCACCGCCGGCGGTACTGTACCCGTTGAAGGCGCAGCTCCTGGCGATGACACCCGAACCTTCTTGAACTTGGCGGCCACCAGCGCTTGCACGATAACCCGTTTGTCACCTCGGTGCTGCTCCCAGAAACTTTCAGCCTCTGCCGTGGACACGAATGCATCATCCATTTGAGCATCACCAGCACCATCAACCTCAGCTTCTGTACGCGGCTCCTGCTTCGTCCTGGACTGGGAGTAGAGCTGCGTGAACTGCTTGAAAGCGTCCGTCTGGATGAGCGTCTTGATTTCGTCTTTGCCTTCCAGCAGATGGTCAGGAATAGTGAAATCAAAATCGCCACCACCAGCGACCAAAGGCGACTGCTTGAGCTGGCCCCTGAAGTCGTCGATCTCTGCCTTGAGCGCGATCTGCTTCGCCTGAAGCTCGTCCCTCTTGGCCGTAGCTTCCTTGATAGCCTTCTCTTGCTCCTCGGCTTCCTCGACTGCCTTTTTGGGTTGACTCTCCTTGCGCGCCAGCTTGTGACCCAAGTTGGTGTGCTGCGTAACGTCACTCTTCTGGCCTTCGATCTGCTTGCGAACCTCACGGAGTTGAGCCTCAAGGGACTTACGGGCTTCCTCCATGTTCTCGCTCTTGCATGCTTTGATAACCGTTTCCAACTCATTGGCCTTGGCGACCAAAGCATCAGGTTTCTCGTCTTTATCATCAGCGCCACTTCCACGCCCACCACCGTGACCGTTGGACGGGGCGTCCTTGGTGGGCGGGGTTTGCTTGGTGAGCTGATCCAACTGCTTCTGCATGGCGGCAAGCGTCTTGGCGAGTCCGTTCTCCTCGGGCTGCCCACGCGGAGCACCACCGCCACCACGAGCAGGAGGGTTGCCACCACCAAACGACTTGGCGCGCTGAAGGACGTGCGCTGGTGCCGCTTCGCCGCAGCGGCACTTGAGGCGACACGCCCAATTACTCGTTCTTCCACAGGACTGACATCCCCAGAGAGGAAGTTTCGGTCCTTTGACCATGTCATTGTTCATCGGTGCTCCTCCAGGAGCTCACTGGAAGAGAACTGTCGTACCGAGCCAAAAAGACTCGCACCAGCTGCTGCCGTTCTGAAGAAAGCTGGTGCAAGCCCAAAAACTTGGGCCAGAACGGCTAAAGAGGGATGAAGTGACGGAGGGAGGGAGAAGGGAGGAGGAGGGGGAAACGAAGGAGAGAGGGACGAGGGAGGGAAACGAGGAGGGAGGGAGGGAGGAGGGAGCAGGAGGGAGGAGGAGAGGGAAAAGGAGGAGGGACGGAGAAGGGATGACCTGTGGACCAGGGATGAAGGATGAGGGGGCGGAGGCATGAGCAGTGGGGGGTGAAGAGAATGGAGGCAGGAGGCGGGAAGAGGCGGGAGGGAATAATGAGGCGGGAGGGAAGGGGCGGGAGGGAGCAGCTCCCCTCTGGTCCACTTCCTTGTCCTGGCCCCAACCCTACCCTCCCCCACTCCCCAACCTTCTTCCCCCTCCCTTTTCCCCTGCCGCCCCGCAGGCCTTGAAGCCTCACAGGCGCCCAGGGCGGTGCTTCCGTGTTCCTTTTCTTCGGGCTCGGTGATTGATCGGGCCCCACTTGCCTTGTGGATGCCACGACACTGGACATTCGAGCAATCCTATCATTGAATTTAAACATGTGTTTGAAATGTCTGTAAACTGTTGCAACACTGTCTGAAACATGTGTTTCACGTGTTTAAGACATGTGTTTAAACCATCTTTGGACATCTGGAAACAATGTAGCAACACGCTTCCTCTCCACTGATCGACTTCCACAGCACTTGCCACAGCGTGAGGCCGTCGACCCGACTGCCCTTCTCGGGGGCGCGCAAACATGGATTAGCGATCCATGGATTTGGAGCGCGGTCGCCACATCCATGGATCGACGGGTGCCACATGCGACCGGTGCCGCCTCGTCCGGCGGCGGAAATCCGCCATTTTCGGGCCGGGCGAAAGGGGGGGATAGCAATGGGGGGGTTTGAGAATCAGCTCACGTAGCTGATTTTCCCGTCGCCTCCTGGCGCCGGAGGCGGCCATGTATCGAGGAATGGGCCCCTCGGTGGGGCTGAAACCCGTTGCATGCAGCAGATTTCTTACCCCCCCTTTCCCTATCCCCCCTTTCGTTCGGCCCGGGATTTCACATGGAACCCTGACTCCAGATCCGCCATACTTTGGGGAAACTCGTAAGTAGGGCTTGGAATTTCCGGTTTACTTTTCAAGCCCCGCTGATGCCAATTTCCGCCCTACTTTTCTGTTGCTGTTTCCGCCTGCTTCCGTGATTTCCGCCCCATTTTATGTTGGGTGCAGACCTTTCCACCCTGCTCCTTCGGCTTCATACAGGTGGATTTCCGACGCAGTTCGAAGTTGGGAAAAAGCCAGAAAGTAGGGCGGATCTGGAGTCAGCGGGGCCACCCCAGACATCCGACGTCTCGATTTTTTCGAGACGCGGGCCCCCGACCTCCCGACCACTTCCCTGGGACCAGTTTTTCATCCCGAACCGTTTTTTGACGGCCCCGAGGTCCGGCGAGGGCCCCGAGAGGCCAAACATCATGAAAACCCCAGCCTCGTTTTTTTCTCGAGACGCCCGATGTCTGGGACGCCCCCTTGATCCGTGCTTGCGATCGCCTGCCCTGCTGCTGGCTCGCTCGCTGCCCCCCCTGAGTATCGTTTAACCGATCCCCATTCCCAGCGGCGTGGCCTGGGCCCCACTGGCCGATTTACCCCCCTAGATGGGGATATAGGTCGTTCCCTTCGGGTTTCGAGGGGTGTATCCCCAACAGGGGTGGTAATTTGGTGGGGGTCTCGAAAAGGATGGAGATGGGGATGGGGATCGGATAAACGATACCCCCCCCCGCCGCCCCGCGCCCACGGGTCGGCGCCGGCCGCGAGCAGCGCGCGGACCACCTCGGCCGGGGCGCGGGCGGGCCGAGGGCGCCCCCGGCTCCGGCCATCCGCCGCGCTCCGGCAGCAGGTCGGCCGAGGAGCAGGAGGAGGAGGAGGAGGAGGAGGAGGAGGGGGAGGGAGGAGGGAGGAGGAGGAGGAGGAGGAGGAGGAGGAGGAGGAGGAGGAGGAGGAGGAGGAGGGACGGGCGAGAGGACACAAGACCGGTGTTGCTCCCATCGCACTGGAGGACCACATCCCGGAAATAATCTCGAGCGCCCAGAGAAACGTATCGAAGCAGTGTTTCGAACGAGCATCGCCTCCCAGGACCCGACACATGAAAGCCCTGCAGTTTCGGTACCTCCTTCGTGTTCGAAATCCCACCAGCCCTTGGGGCGTGAGTGGTTTAGAGAGCTCTCTCTGTCCTCAACCCCCCTTCTTCCCCTTCGGGGAGGGGTTTACCCCTCCCCCTACCCCCTCCCCTGGGCCTGGAGAGGGCGCCCCGCGGGTGGTCAGAGGGGTCTTTTTCGACTCCTGGGAGGGCAACAAAAACGACGACCCTCACGAGGATTCTGGCCCCGACGGGGGGAAGGAGAAAAAAACCTCTCCTCTTCTTTGAAGCCAAAAGCATTGATTGTACTACGGTTTTGGCCCCATTTTGGCTTTCTGAGGGGGCAGCGCTCATCTTCCTTCAAGGCAAAATCATTGATTTTACGAAGGTTTTGGGCTCATGTTGCCCTTCTGAGGGGGCAGCGCTCATACAAGCTCCCCTCTTCTTTGATCCATTCCCTCCAAGATGGCCCCAAGAAGCGCCCAGGAGGCACCAAGAGGCCCCAAGATGGCCCCAAGAGGTCCCCAGGAGGCCCCCAAGAGGCCTCCAAGAGGCCCCCAAGATGCCCCCAAGAGGCCCCCAAGAGGCCCCAGGAGGCTCCCCCGAGGCACCCAAGAGGCCCCCAAGACGCCCCAAACGGCCTCCAAGAGGCTCCCAAGAGGCCCGAGGAGGCTCCCCCAAGGCACCCAAGACGCTCCTAGAAGCCCCTGGGGCCGCCAAGAGGCCCCCAAGACGCCCCAAAAGGGGACGAGGTGCCCGAACGCCTCACGCCACGAGGAGCCCGAACGACTCACACCAGGACGAGGGGCCCGAACGACTCACACCACGAAGAGCCCGAACGACTCACACCAGAAGGAGGGGCCCGAACGACTCACACCAGGACGAGGCGCCCGAACGACTCACACCACGAGGAGCCCGAACGACTCACACCACGACGAGGGCCCCGAACGACTCACACCACGAGGAGCCCGAACGAGTCACACCAGGAGGAGGGGCCCGAACGACTCACACCAGGACGAGGGGCCCGAACAACTCACACCACGAGAAGCCCGAACGACTCACACCAGGACGAAGAGCCCGAACGACTCACACCACGAAGAGCCCGAACGACTCACACCAGGAAGAAGGGCCCGAACGACTCACACCAGGACGAGAAACCCCAAACGACTCAAACCACGAGGAGCGCTTTCTCTCCCTCCTCCTCCGCCTCGTCCTTCTCCCGCTCCCCCCACAAGGAGGATGTACAAGGAGGCGGGAGGAAGGAGGAACAGGGGAGATATGCGGGGCCAAGCGGACACACGCCTGAAAAACACAACTGTCGGCATGCTTCGCAAGAGTTGCTGTTGTGAGATGGGCTGGTGGGGATACGCGAAGCGTAAAAAAGAATTCTTGTTTTGGTGATCAAGGCTACAGTAGACTGGAACATCATGACACAAGACCCTTCCGAAGGCCACATTGCCATAGGAATGCAGAAGGCATGGGTCACGAAACAGAGGGTAAAGGGATACCCTGGATTTGGAAGGGTCGACCTACTAATCAAGCTCGACTATATGTGCCGACATGGAGAGGTGTCGGAAATGCACCCCGAACGGTGCGAAAACGTGGGGCGGAAATTGTCGCTTCAGGAGAAGCGGGCGGGTATTTCCGCAAAGACGTGGCGGAAAGAACAATGACAGAGCAGGGCGGGAATCGACGTCACAGGAGCCTGAAAGGAATGCGGCAATGTCCAAACTTCTTGCCAAATCGCACAGAGTAGGGTCGGACCTAGGATAGAAGAACGTCCTTCAAGAACATGAGACCCTCCGCAAGCCAAGCTGAAAAACATTCGAGGGCACCCTGCCCCAGGATTCACACGAACATCCAACAAGCACGAAGAAGAACATTATGGCACCCTCCCTGAGCCGACCTCGATTCTATACCCCGATCCGACCATACGGCGGATCCGAAGTCAGGGAAGGGGCGGTTGGGGCTGGCGGGGGAATGTCGGGGGCTGGGGCGGGACAGGGGGGGGGTTACTGGGAAGCGCGAGTGGGTGGCGGGAGGAGCGGCAGGGGAAAGGGGAGGGGGGAGAGAAGGGGAAGGGGAGAGGGGCGAGAGGGACAGGGACTGGTGAAGGATGGGGAAAGGGGAAGGAGAGTGGGAGGAGGGGAGAAACTCTCTCCCTCTCTCACTCAAGTCGGGGAGACGTAAGACTCGGGTACTGGGGACTCGGGTTGGCCTGACGGGCCCATCGTAAAAATGACGAGACTCAATCTGAAATTTGACGCGAGCTCCCGCTACAAACATCCCACGAAAACTGGACCGTCAAAATCCAAGACGCGGTCGGCAAAAAACGTCGGCAAATCCGAGTTCCGGCTTACGCGAGTCTTGCGTTTCCCCGATGAAGAGGTTCTGGGAGCGATGCATGAGCACTCCATCATTCTAGTGTCCAAGGGATGACAGACAGACGATCCGCATACCGTGACTACGATAGACCTTTCCAGCGACCAGACACGTAATGCAAGTTGCCACTCAGACCTAGACAGGCTCAGCGCATTCCAATGCTAGGGCCAAAATGGGTACGGACGTCATGAGCCCGCACACGGGTTCGGGCACGCCCATACATAGCATCATCCACGGGCATGGCCAGCGGTGGCAATGCCGGCGCGGGGCTGTCGTAGTATCGGCTCTCGCCCCGACAGGCAGCGCCCGTAAACGCGCCTTCCCGCCGCTGCGGACCCAGCCTGGAACGCTGAGCGGCCCCCGCCCTGCAGGCTACGGGGTGGCGCGCTGCCGCCACTGCGGGGCCCCTGCCGCCTCCCCCGCGGCGGCCGCCCCCCCCCATCCGCGGGTCCTCACCCCGCTGCGGGGTCCCTGCTCCCGCGCCTCACTGCACTTCCTGCTCCCGCGCGGAGGGGTCCCTGCTCACACGCTCCCACTCGGTGCCGCGCTGCCGCTTCCTGCAGTGCCCCCCTGCCCTGCCGGGAGGCGCACGCGCCTTCTCTTCCCTGCGCCTGGTTGGCGACCAGCTCTCGGCCCGCGCGGGTCCTTACGGGCTCGCCGCTCGCGCCACCAGGAGGAGCAGGAGGAGGAGGAGGAGGAGGAGGAGGAGGAGGCGGAGGAGGGGGAGGAGGAGCAGCAGGAGGAGGAGGAGGAGGAGAGGGAGGGGGAGGGGGAGGGGGAGGGGGAGGGACAAGCTAGGTGCGCTCGCGTCATATCTGACGTCCTACCGCGCTCTCTGTGTCGTAGTGGACCGTGGTTGCGGTGGTACGTGTCGTGAGTGCGTGCGTGCGTGTGTGCGTGGTTGTCGTGGTGGTGGTGGTGGTGGTGGTGGTGGTGGTGGTTGGTGGTGGTGGTGGTGGTGGTGATGGTGGTGGTGGTGGTGGTGGTGGTGGTGGTGGTGGTGGTGGTGGTGGTGGTGGTGGTGGTGGTGGTGGTGGTGGTGGTGGTGGTGGTGGTGGTGGTGGTGGCGGTGCGGCGCGGTGGTGGCGGGCGGATGGGCGCGCGAGAAAAGGCCCGCGCTGGGGCGAGAACGCCATCCTGAACGACGGAGGCCAAACACCGATCCGAAAATGAGGCCCACGCTGCAGCGGGAGCACGATTCGGAACGATTCGGGAGCAGAAATGAGGCCGGCGCCTCAACGAGAGCAGCCATTTTGGGGAAAAATGACGCCGGCGCCTCAGCGAGAGTCGTTTCCCGGGATTTCCCGGGAATCTTGTGTGTAAAAAACAAGTACGCGGAGGGTGCGCGGCCATCACCCGGACGCCATCAGGGGATGAGGGAGAGTATTTTCATATTGAGTAATTG